CTGTCCACCCCGTGCCTGGCACACAGTAGGTGCTTAATGACTATTTTAAAAATGAATGGATACCTTATCTCGCCCCCTCCCCCAACTACTCTAGGAAGTAGGTATGATTATTTGTTCAAGGTACAGGTGAGGGCACGGAGGCCCAGCAAAACCAAAGGACATGAGGAGGTCAAGTAATTAAGCCTGTGGACTCTGAGGGCAGACTTTCTGGGTTCAAATCTTAACTTCTCCATGCAATAGCTGCCTTTTACTTCATTTTCCTAGGCTGTGGTTTCCTCACTGTAAAACGAGGATGCTAGTGGCAGCTCCCTTGGAAGGCTATTACAAGAAATCAATGAGATGACACAGGGAAAGAAGTCCGCCTAGCACCTGGCACGCAGTGGGTGCTCAGGAAGCATGAGTTGCCGCTGTTACCCAGCCTCACAGGGAGCTGAGCTCGAGAAGTCCGGGGTGTCCCGATCTGCTCCAGAGCCCTGTCTTCTCTGCTATCCTCTACCACGTCCTCCTGGTCACACATTTCATGAGGTCCTCTTTTATGGAACCCCAGTTCTACTTTTTTGGGGAGTGGCATCTGTGCAGGGTTTTGTTGCCAAGGATTCTGTGGCAACTGTTGGCTCAAGCTGGAGGCAGAAGGAGGGGAAAAGGAGCCTGCCCTCTTCTGGGTCCAGCTTCAGTCTTCATTAGCCCCTTTTAGGTTCCTTCTGCAGTTAGGGCAGGCTTAACAGAGAACCCCATGCTACAGGGAAAGCGCTTGGCCAAACCTTGGGGCTATGACCTCTCTATCATCCAGCTGGCCCTCTGGCTATCAGACTAAGCTTCTGAGATACAAGCCATGATTCATACCAGCTCCCCTTTCTAACTGGGTTACCTAAGTCACTTCACCTCTCTGAGCCTCAGTTTTGCCACCTGAAAAATGGTCATAATCATTGCATCTACCTCAAAGAACTGTTTTGTCAATCAAATGAGGGGGAAAAAAAACTGTGTAAAGTATGTGACCGTGCCTGGCATATAGCAGTATCTCCCCGTCCCTTCATTCATCAATCATCTCAGTTGGGGGAACTCCTATTCAACCTTCAAAGCCCAGCTCACATGTTCCTTTATTTGTAAAGCCCTCTCAGACACCAAGACCTCTTAGACACTGTCTGGTCCCTCCTCTGTGGCCCTACTACACATTGTACTTGCTTCCATCACCACCAGGGGTGATACACAAAATATCCCACAATTGGTTGAGTTGAGGTACTGCCCCATCTGAAGGTAGCTGGCTTTGGCACTGAAGGGCTGTCAGGTAATTACTCTTTAGCTGCTGGACTGTGAGAAGGTCCACAAGGTATTAGAGGAGGGAAGGGATGGCTCTGTTGACTGGGGGTGGGGGTGACACCCCCAACTAGGGTGCGAGTATTTGAATATTTTAACAAAGGAGGAGGTACTGGTGCTCACTGACTCAGTCTCAGCCCTGATGGCAAGACCTACCCTACTGTACTGCAGCCTTCTGTTGATGAGTAGACTGTGAACTCTGGAATTGAGGAAAAGTGTATTTTCATCTCTCTGTCTCCCTAATGCCTCGAGCAGAGATGACGGAGTGTAGATAAGGAAAGAATGAGGCCATGAAGGGTTGACCCTTTGGGACCCTCCATTTGGATTTGGGCTCTGACCAAGTGAGAGGGCTTCAGGTTATTTTTAGCTCACCGACTAGGATTTCAGAGAGACACAACCCATCTTTGCATATTCATATATGCAAACAGGGCCCCTTGATGTAATGTACCCGTCTTAGACTTTTTAAAGAGCTGTGCATATGAGATGCCTCTAATGGAGCGTGGTAGGAACCAGGGCATAGAAGACCCTTCACTCCTGGGAATTCTCTTCACCCCTGGAACCCCATCTCCTGCCCTGGAATTCTACCTCCATCCCGATTGCAGTCTTCATTCCCTGTTTCCATTGGCTAGTTTCTCGCTTGTTGCCTCCTCTGCCCTAACCTAACCCTCACCCTAATTCCCTTCCCTGCCTGCTGACCTCCTGTCCCATCTCAGCATTAATTGTTGTGCACTTTGTTTTACAGTTTTTACTTCCTTATAAGAAGGCACAGACTGTTTCTTATTCACTGGATCTTGAGAGTCACGTCAGAGCTGACCTTTTACAGATGTTCAGTAGATGACGGGTCGATCTCAACAAGTGATTGAACAGGTGACTCAGTGACAATGATTCTGCTGTTCTCTGTGGCTGAGAGTTCAGCAAAATCGTGGGGCCAGGACTCTTAGAAAACCTTTGGTCCAACCTGGCATCCTCCTCCCTCCCTGCCTCTGCAGGACTGCAGGAGAGAGGATGAGAACAGGCCCAGCGTGGAGAGTGCTCTGAGGACCAGACTGGGTTGGGGGGGGCATCCGATGTCCCCAGGAGTCAGGGTGAGGCTAGCCATGTGGGCTGCAGCTGCCATCCAGGACGGAAGGGCTGAAAGCGGGGGCGGCAGGGGTCCTAGCTCTAGTCCCAACTCGTGCGCCGACTAGCCTGGGCCTCGAACCATCCTACTAGGCCGACCACTCCACTACCAGGACTACCATCGCTCCAACAGCTACTGCTTTTATCGCTACTACGATTTCCACTGCTAACAGCCCTGCTGCGACTGGCCACGGCCAGCCACCCTTACCGAGCATCCCTGTTACACTCTCAAATTTCTCCTTCCATTAAGTCGTCACACCCTCCCAACACCCCTCTATGAGGTAGGTCTTATGACTGTCCTCTTTGTGCAGATGTGGAGAAAACTGAGGCACCGACACTTTATGTAACCTGCTCGAGGTTCTACAGTTGGAGAACACGGAGCCAGCCCCTGGAATGTCGCCATCGTAAAAACCCGCTCCTCTGCGGAGTTCTGCCCCGTGCGAGCCCCGGGCTCAGCTGTTCACAAAACCATTTTGCTTTCGTCCCAACAACAAGGCTTTGGAAGAAGAGACTTACTATCTGCATTTTTTGCAGCTCCAAAAGGTTTAAGTAACTATCCCTCACTTGGAGCCAGGATTTGACCACATAATCCTAATCCCGTGTTTTTAACAACTCTGACTTGCCGCAGCCCATAGCAGTCATTTCTTGTCTGTGAGTCCCGGTTCTCTTTTCGAAATTGGGGCGTTGAGTGAGTTGAGCTCTCAAGGCTTCTGCCTTCGGGGTGCGAATGAGTTTTCAGCTCTTCTGATAGGATCTGGGCCCACAGTGGACATCATCACTTTAAGAACCAATAGCCAATCTGGTACCTCACTAGCTGTGGTTGGAAGGACCACCTTTTTTTTTTTTTCCCCCACATCTTGGACCTGACTGATTAGGAAACCACCCTAGACATGTGGGAAGACACAAACCCACTGCTCCCAATGGTAGTTTTTAATGAGGGTCTGTTGGGGCCACCACATGGGCTGCCACAAATACCATGACCAGGGGGATCAGTGGCGTTTACTAACTGAAGAACATTCTTCAACCTCTCGTGGCTCATATTTTAAATTGATTTCTACCTTTGCAGCCATTACCCTGGGAGACAAGTGGGCTAACCTTGCTCATCGTCCAGTGGAGGAAGCGGAGGCTGGAGTGGTAAGAGGATTTATCCAGCCAAGCCAAGACTTGAACCCAGGCCTCCAGACTCTCTGCCTTACTGGGAAGAACTTTCATAGGACATTCGGGGAGGGGAGAAGACAGGCGGGCACTTTCCATCTGCAAATATCAGCAACTACAGGCAGCTCTACAAAGGAGAGGTCTGGGGAGAGCTGTGGATGTGTTCAGTGAGGCAGAGGATTTGGGCAAAATTAGACCTTGGTGATACACGGTGCCTTGGCTGGTATAGAAGAGTTGCCCAGAATGCACAGCAGATAAGAACTGTTATGTCAACCAGACCCAGCTAGTAGTCACCATCACCTTCTCTTGACCTTCCAGTGAGAACCCCTGAGCTTCTCTTTACACCCACCGCACCCTTTCTAAGGGAACAGCTCTCTGAGCTGTCAGCAGCAAGTGTAGGCTAAGTCAGCGTAGAATCTCCTCTTGCCTGTGTGTCTGTCTGTCCCTCTAGAAGCTACAAAAGGCCTTTATATATTTTATGTTATTGGATACCCCGCAACAATCCCACATGGAAGTGGTCTTATTTCAAATTTACCAATGAGAAAACTGAGTTTCAAAGACGTTAAGTGACTTTCCCAAAGTCACACAGCTAGGAAGTGGCAAAGCTGGAACCTGAGTTCAGATCCAACTCCAAATCCCTCGCTCAGGAAACTTCCTGGCATCAAACCCTCTGAAGTCACATCCCAGCCCCTCCTCGGTGACCCAGGGACCATTATGTGATTCCATTCAGTGCCGGGTTGCAAAACTGGATTCCCTCTTGCTTTGCTCTGTGGCTTCACCCCAGACCTTAACCTCTCTGAGTCTTGGCTTTTCTGTCCCATCCGTGGAAGGGACGAGTGAGGGCAGCTGCGCCCTCAACTCCTCAAGACCTTGCATGGACACGAGAGGACACAGGTCAAGTGCTATATGAGCTCCTTGGAGGAAAATTCTCGTCTACATTCAAGGCTGTGTTTATACAAGTGAAATCAAATCCCAGCTGCTAATCAATGCTGCAGCCTAGCTGGCGTCAAAGATGCAGACTTCACTGCAAAGCTGGAGCGCCTCTGTTACGTCAAAGACCCCCTCTTTCCTTCCTCCCCAAAGAAACCGCCTACGGTGTCTGACATGTGCATTCCTGTAGATGTCACTCTGGAGACCAATATATATTTTCAACATTTCCCTGATAAAAAGCCTGGGTATTTTAGTTTTATTCCCTCCCCCGCCCCCCATACCCCCCTCCCTAAATCCCCAAGCCGAGTGCTGCCAAAGGCTGGCGAATGACCATTTGGTTAATCAATGGGGAGCTCTGAGATGGGTGGGGTATTTGCCCGAAACTGAATCAGAATGTGTGGTAGACTGCCCTGAACTTGTGCTTCCACCTCCCCCCAGTGTCATGGCCAAGACTGGCAGAGGAGGCTGTGCGGAATACTTACTACACCCCTGGCCGACAGGAAGCTGAGCATCTGGAGGGGCTGGCTGGGCGGGGGGCTGGACCGGGCCTCAGGGCTGGCCTTGCAGAGGGTCTTGGAGCAGCGGCGGGAGTGCCTTCGGTGGGACTTCCGCCCTTCCTCTGGGGACCGGCCGCGGTGCCTGGGTGTAGGGGAGAGAGACTTGAGGGTCTTTGGATGGGGAGCATGGCAGAGAGGTGGCTGAAGGACCAGCAGGATCTGAGGACAGCAGAATGTGTTTGGGTGTGTCTGTATGAACTACATGTGCATCCATCCATCCATCCATCCATCTATCCACCTACCCATCCATCCCTCCATTCATCCATCCATCCATCCACTTACCCATCCATCTATCCATCTATCCATCCATCCACTTACCCATCCATCCATCCATCTATCCATTCCATCCATCCATCCATCCATCCATATATCCATCTACCTGTCCATCCATCCACTCATCCATCCTCTCATTTGTTCACATGACAACTGTTTATTCATGCACCTGGCACTGCCTGCGGGCTGCAGATGCAGCTGTGAAGACAGCAAGGGTCCCCATTCAGTTTACTGTCCTTTGTGTGCTTGTGTGACTGTCTGTCTGCCTGCCTGTTTGTGTCTGTTATGTGGCTGTGTGTATGTCTGGGTGTGTCCATCTGTGTTTTCATGTGTTTGTCTATAAATATAGCTGCGTATATCTGTGTGTCTTCGTGGTTGTGACTTCACCATCTGTGAAACAGAGGCATCTTATTGACTGTCACCCAAAACTTTTGGAAAAAAAAAATCTGACAAAAAATGACAAAGACGCCTTCTGTGAGCTTGTCAGATCTAGATTTGGTTGTCCGTCTGCAGTGGAAACCAAAGCCCTCTCTGACTCCCTGGAAAGGGCATATTTGGACTCCGCATTACCCATTAGCTCTGAGTCACAGCAGTAATAGATTTGCTTGGCACTTGTAAGCCCCTCTGAAGGTGCCTTCCCAGTCCTCTCTACAACTTGAAGCCCTAGGGCAGGTATTACTTTCTGATCTTCAGATGAGAAAGTTGAGGCTCAGAGATGTTTAGGGACCTGCCTGAGGTCACACAGCTTGTAAGTGGCAGAACAAGGGCCCCTGTGGAAACCAACGCCTCTGGTTCCTGAGCTGGAGTGTCCCTCTCTGCACTGGGACCTCCAGATCATTTTTCTACGGAGTGTGTGGCCCAAGGGCCAGCTCCCGGGTTGCTCCCATGCCGGCTCGGGTGTCCCTCAGCCCAACAGGCACTGAGGAACTGCGGCTGCCACTCCAGCAGGAGATGTGGCAGCAGAAGGAGGGCTGCAGCTGGGGCTGCAAGGTGAGGCACTTCCCTGAGAGGTAAGTCTCCGAGAAGGTCAAGTGCGGGGCACCGAGGGTCTGCGAGCAGACCCTGCACCATCCTCCAGCCAGGCTGGGCTGGAAGTGAAGGGCTCAGGCTTAGTCACACAGACCTGGGTCCCAGTCCCAGCTCTGCCAGTCACCGTGACCTTGCTCAGACACCTTTGCCCACCAACCCGCAGTGTTCTCCACTATAAATGTCAGTAATGCAGCTGAGCTCAGGGCGCCAATGCCCTACAGACAAAGCCCACCGGGAGTGCGCTGTGGCTGAACGAGCGAGCATCTTTATGGCTCCCTGCAGGCACGGAGAACACACACCATGGGGAAGAGGTGGATGTCTTTGTCCGAGGGCGTCAGAGAGAACCCAGGATGAGCATGTGGTGGGTGACTCTGGGGAGCATTTAAAGAACTGGGGCTTTGTTCTGGACTGGATGCTGCCAGAAAGTGGAGGTCATTCTCTGACTGGGTGTCCTCATAATTACCCAGAAAGAGGGCAGACTGACTGAGGTCCAGGCTATAACTGGTAAAGAAGCAACAGTCACTCATATCCGCCAGGCTAGAGAGAGATGCTGGTCTCTTCTGTGTTTTGGACAAAGTTTCTGTTTCATCTGGGCTCAGATCTGATTCCGGAAGGATCTTGTTTCTGTCCTGATCACACAGGGTCACAGAGCAGCCTTGTCTGAGGCGGACGTTCTTGGAAACTGTCGCTGTTCAGTGGGGACACCAAGGCCTCCCGCGGATGGTACCAGACGCCAGGGGCTGCGTCTCCCTCTTAAATGCCTTCACCCTCGGCTCCACGTTCACCTCACCGGCGAGACTGAAAGGTGTCCGCTGCCTTGGCCCCACCCCATCCAGCTTAGATCAGTATGTCAAGAGGTGGGATCCAGGCCCTGGCATCTGTAACAACCTCCAAGTCGACCACAGTGCAGCCAAAGCAGAGAAGCCCTGGCCTAGCGCGCGGTGCTGTCCGGAGAGGAGGAGAGAGAACGCACTTGAAACGGTAGCACAGTGCCTGCTTCGGAGTAGAATTTAGATAAATGCTTCCTCTAGACATTCTGATTTAACTGGGAGGCGCCGGGACCAGGATAGTGAGTTTCTTTCAGTCTCCCCAGGAGACATGAACACATAGCCAAGTGTGAGAAACACTTAAGAAAGAATAAAGGAGCCTTTGGCTTCGGGAAGCTAGCCTGGTACCATCAACGAGACCTGGGTGTTCCCGCCGGGCACAAACAATTTCAAATGTCAACATCAACAAAGCCCCACCCTCTTCTTCTGCTTTGTGTTTTTCTCATCCACAAGGGCTTCCTCCCCCTTCTCAGGCCGGGAGAGCCAATGTGTCAGCATAAAGAGAGTCTAGGTTAGGAGAAATCTGACTCAGGAGGGCCTCAGAACCAGGTCCTTTGTGCTGTGTGGCTTTTCATAGGTTGCTTAGCTTCTCTGTGCTTAGAAGCACCCTAAGAGTGCCAAGCCCAGCTCCCCAGTTCGGTCCTAGCTCTTCACTCAGTAGCTAAGTGACTGGCAAGTTCCTTAACCTCTCTGTGCCTCAGTTTCCTCCTCTTTAAAATGGGGATGACAACAGTGCCGGCTTCGTTGGGTTGTGAGGGGGTCATGCCGTGGACACTGGAGGTACTTAGCACCTCAGCAGGGCGGTGCTAGTGGCACCTAGAAAGCACGTGTGTTAGCAAGTCCTGTTACTACTGTTCCTAGAAGTCAAGTCCTTCTGTCTGTTCTGCCTGCAGCCCTTTGTCTACAGGGAAGTGACGACAGCTTCCGAGGGTGGGGCAGGGGGCTGTCGCTCTGCTAGGAAAGCGGCCCCTCAACAGTGACAGTGGGAGGCAAAGCTGATGGAGACAGTGTCTTAGGCTGGCCGTGGGCTGTGGCTGGGCTGAGGAGGCACCTCAGGGCGGGGGTTACCTGCTGTCACAGCTGGAGGAGCGGGACTCCGAGCTCTGGGACCGCGAGGGGCAGTGGTGGTGGCGGTGGCGGTGAGACTTTCGGGGCCGGCTTCGTGATCTTGGGAGGCGGGGAGGTGAGAAGGAGCAAACCAGAGGAGAGAGAGAGTAGGTTTTCATCTGGTGACACACATTTTCCTCTTGCACCCAAGTTACTGTCCCTCCCAAAGTTATGCGTCTCCCCCAACCTACTCCCTGCACCCCGCCCCCTGCATCCCGCCTGTGCATTCCGGGTCTCTAACCAGTTTTTCTGAACACAAGTGAGTGGAAAGGGGAGATGGCCTGACCCTCAGGGCCCTCCCACCCTGCTGGTAGCAGGCCTGATGCAGACCACACCCAGGACAGAAACGCCACCTCTCCCTCACCTAAGGAGGAGTCTCAGTTCCAGACAGTTTCGCGAGTCAATCAGATACCATAATGTGTGAATGAGTTGGGCACTAAAGAAAAATATGTCAACTGAAGGGCACTGGCTAAAGAAAGTGGCTTTGCCTCCCGAATGATGGCATGGTACTGGGTCTTCACATTTCTCAAGTGAATATAGAAATAGAAATTTTTTAATGTAAATTATTCCTATTTTAAATGGAAGCTCATTTTTAAAAATTTTTTTAAAAAGACAGTGTTTGGGGCAAACAAAACACATTTGCAGAATCCATTAGGCCTCTGGGCTGCCAATCTGTAACTTTAGACCCAGAAAATTAAGTCTAGATTTCTCGTACGGAGTTACAAACATCATCGACAACAAAGATTACAGTACCGATAATTACTACCACTGCCATGGAAATTGGTATTATAACAGGTCACTGCAGCTCTCTCTGAATAACAATAATGACTCAGAAGTAGCAGTGGCAGTGGCTGTGGTCACTGATACAATGTACACGGAATATCAATGTTTTGGTCCAAGACAGGAAGCCAGTGGGAGTTAGAGATGATTCTATCGGGAGGTAGCTTGGTTATCCCAACAAAGGTCTCAGAATTCTTGTAATGTGATCATCAGACTGTATCCTTTCCCTGTTTAAAACTCTCCTGCTGTCCTCATGTCAAGTCCAGACTCTGACCTTGAGCCCCAAGCATCCTCAGGAGCCAGCCCCCGCCTAGCTCCCCAGTCTCCTTGAATTATGTCTACAGCCCTGGTCAGAAAGGCTCAAGCAGGCCTGAAGTGCTTGTGTTCTGGCTCACACCTTTCCCAGCTGATGATGTCCTGATGATGATGATGGTGATGATGATGGTGGGGGGGACCCGTCTCTAACACACACAGTGTGCTGGGCACTGTGTTCTAAGCATTTGCCTTACATAGATTCATCTATTCCTCGCAACCTACAAAGCAGGTTCCCTCATTCCCATTTCACAGATGCGCAAGCCGAGGCACAGAGAGTTTCAACCATTTGCCTAACTTGCAGCCTAGAATGGTTACCTCCATCCTTACTCCCAGCCTAAGCGCCTGGTCCCGCAGGAAACCTCCCCTCACCACCAAGCCCTCTGTCCTGCACCGGGGCTCCACCGCGCCCTGGGCTTCCATCTCCTGCCGCTGTGCTGTGACCTGTCCCATGTCTGTCCCCGGGTCCCGCTGCATGGTGCGCTTCTCAGGCTGGGAGGTATGTCTGTCTAGTCTCCGTCCTTGAGCTCCGCACAGGACCTGCCACCTGCTAGGGCCTCTCTGAGGGATGCTGAACGAGAAGCCAGGTCATTCCAGTGGTCCTTTGTTTAGAAGCTGCCCTGACCATGGGTCTCGGCAAGAAAAACCACCTTTCTCTTAGGGGCGCCTGTTTTTCCTGACTCCGTTTTTTCTGGCTTTCATAGCCTTCCTTTACGTCCTGCTAGCGGTTTCTGAGACATATCCAGCTGCGCAGGCTGGCCACCCTGCTGCCCTCAGGCCAGCAGTCCTCACCTCAGTGAGGATCCTCCCAGGACTCTTAGGGTCTGGGCCCAGCCCTGGCTCAGTGACTGCCTATACTGCAGCCACCCTGGACAAGCGATGCTGACGTCTCTAAGGACAGGCACTCTGTCTGCGCTTAGCGTGAACGTACACTCAGTGCCCGTGAGCACCTCTTGACTTGAACTGAACCAGCCTGATGAGTGGGAAGTTCTTCCTTGAGCTAACTCACAGCTCTACTGTTTCCTTCTGGAGCTTTCCGCAGCCTCCTGTGCTGGTGCCTGAAATGCCCTGTTTCGCACTGACCTTGGGTGAAGGGGCCCTTTGGGCCAGCAAAGCTGAGCACCCTCCCTCTGAGCCCCGCCTCCTCTTGTCCCTCCCCCAGCAGCCGGCTGACTTTCATCCCACTGCCTTTGAGTCTCACTTTAGAAGCTTCTTGGCGGGAGATAAAATATTAGTTGATTGGAAAACACACGCAATAACATTTGCAAGGGTATAAAGTAGGTGGGTTGTAACCAAATTTACTTTTAATTTGGCTGGGAACTGAACTCTGCAGGCAGCGCTGGCTGATTTGAATTTCTACTACCAGCTATAAACTGTGAACCAGCTGGGGCCCGAGACCAGGGAGCTCCTCTGATGTCTCCATGCCCGAAGCCCAGCAGCCGGGGCTGGGACTCACACGCCTGCACAAGCACGCACTTGATCATGCCCCCTTAATCACTCATGCACACACAGCAGACACGTGTGCACAGGTGAAAACCGCCCCATGCCCTCCGTATGAGGAACGCACACAGACAAACAAGCAGTGCAGATGCAGAGTGCATGGGACTGGAGCACAGGCGCAGACAGGGCGCCTACATGCATACTGATCAAGTTCATGTTCACACAAGCACGGGCATACCTAATGCACTTGTGTGAACACAAGTATACACCATCGCACACATACACACTCTGTCCCTGCAGTGCACACAAATGTTTGCACGACAGAAAAATGTACAGATATTTACAAGCAATGTGCATGATACACATATACACGTCACGTACAAATATTACATGACGCACACCCAGGAGCACAGAATTCACACACAATGGGCGCGCCAGGCACACACATACACACTGTTCACTTCCCTGCACAGAGACACACATGCATGCACACACATCACACACGCAACCTTGTGCCCTCACGCGTGCCAAACCCACAACTGCAAGTCTACACACAGTGCTGTCTTCCCCTTCCTTCTCCCCTCTCTCCCACTCCCCACCCCTCCCCCTTTCCCTGTTCCTTGTTCAGAGACCAGGTCCCCCTCCTCCTGAAAAGGACGTTCCAGGTGGAATCTGCTTACTGTTTTTTGTGCCTCTTCTCTTCCCTTCTTTTGCTTTTTGGGCTAGAGGAGCTGAACGAGAAAATGGCCAGTTAATTGAAAGATGCTAACTGGTCAGTTAATTGAAAACTTCAGCTAAAGTGAAAAACAAAGCAGTTGCAATGCTTAACACATGGTGGCCACACCCTCAGGCCACCTGAGAATGGACACCGATTGTTTCCAAGACCAGAGTGGTCACTGCCAACTTTCTCACCCAGTGGGTTCAGCTAGAGACACCAACCCACACATACAGACTGACAGTGGGGTCTGGAGGAGGCCCGGGTCAGCTTTGGTGGCTTAATACTAATGGTAATAACACCTGTCACCTTTTGAGGCTTTATTAGAGGGTCAGCACTCTGCTAAAACTTTGTGTCAACAGTCTCATTTCATGGTCCCTACTACCTATGGGTGGTGGCGCATTTAACAAGCACTCATTTACAGAAGGACTTGGCCTGTGTCCCTTGGCTAGGATCTGGGAAGGCTTTGCTGGGGTGACTGGGGCTGACGTTTTTCTGTGTGCCCCAACGCAAGATTTCAACCAATGGTAAAATAAACAGACTCTGGCCAGGGCAGCGAGACTTCCCAGGAAGGTGGATCGATAAGGAGCTGGTCCAGCAGCAGCTGTCCGGCCTGATGGAATTTGAAAGCTGGCTTGGAACTTTCAGGGAAACCAGCCTGTGGCTTTCATTTTGGAGGAAACTGAGGCCCAGGAAGATGAAGGGGGCATGCTTAAGAACACAGAGGTGGAGACCGAGAACTTGACCCTAGAAGCTGCCTAAAACCTGGTCAGGGAAGCAGGAAGGCGAGCAAGCAGCCAGGGGCCACAAGGTTCTTACCTGTGCCTTCTCTTCTTGGAGAATGACCTGCTTAGAGGGAAAAAAGGAGGAGACAGAGGGAGGGAGGGAAGGGAAGGGGTGGGGGAAGGAAGAGGGAGGGAGGGAAGAGAAGATGGGGAGGGGGAGAGAGGAAGAAAGGAACAGAGGGGGGGGAGAAAATGAACATCAGTGAGTCTGAATTTCTTTTCCAGGGACGAATGTGTCGGTGCACTGGTGGCCATGCTACCAGGGACCCGCGACACCTAGTGAATCCTCCTCCTCTTTGAGATTTGATTGATTGATCAATCGATTGATTGATCGACTGATTCACTTATTCCTCTTCTTTGAGATTTGAGGCTCATACAGGAAACTCTGGCTTGCATTTTGAATTTCCAGGTCAACACCTACCAGTGCTTCAGTCCTCACCCAGATTTGTCAGTAAGCCTGTCCTGGATGAGGTGAGATGAGGGGGCCCCGAGAGAGCACCCCTCTGCCTCCTCTCTTCCCCCAAGTCTCATTTTAATCTTTTCTCTCTAGTTGTGGATTCATCTCCCTCATTGTTTTCATCTTCCCGGGACAACCGGCTTCCATATATTGGAACTCTTACTGGGTACCAGGCTCTGTGCTAAGCATCTCTCACACACAGTCCCATTCCATCTTCCCTCAAGACCTATGAAGTACCACTAACCACCGTTTCGCAAAAACACAGAAGCTCAGAGATGTTAGTTAAGTTGCCCAGGGCCACACAGCTTCACCTGTGTAACTCCTGCTCATGCTTCAGAGCTCCACTCAGATGTCATCTTGTAGCACTTTCCAGGCCCCTCACCTCTTCTCTGTTCCCACAAGCCCTGGGTGACTGATGGCTCAGCCTTCTGAGCTTAGCCTTCCTGTAGTACAGACCTCTGTGTAACAGGATCACCATTTTCCCCACTAGAATGAGGGCAGGGACTGGGTTCTGGTCCCTGTTCTGTTCCCGAGACCCAGAGTCCTCAATCATGACATGTAATAGGTATTTAATAAATAGATGTGAAAAATGTAATTAAAAAAAAACCCCAACCCCTGAAGCCTTGTTAACTGATGGGAGGAAAAAAAAGCTCAGCGTGTCCACTATCCTTCGCTTCCATCTCCAAAAAGTCAACCATCATTAACCAAACATTTCAAGAACTTGGAGAGGACAGACTAGAAGTAGAGCGGGCTCAGAAGATGAGAGTTTGAGAAGAATCGGCAACAGTGTCCCCCCTCCTAGTCTCCCCTTTTACGGTCCCCCTTCCCTCCGAACCTCCAGCAACCTCTGGGCTAACTGTAGCCAGCAGGAAAAAAAAAAGCCTGTTTCTAACCTTCTGGTATAGTCTCTTCCTCGTGAGAAGAAACCCTCCCATGAGAAGCCACTTGGCTTCCAAAATCTAGATAAAAGAAAATCCAAATAAACTGGGACAAATTGCTCAGCACAGCAAGGTGACAAGATGGTGGTCTACAGTCACGCGCAGGCCCCTGCCCCTACAGAGGACTCCCTGTGAGGAAAGGTTCCAAACTCCAGTTTAACAGCATCTCACTAACTGTTTGGCCCACGTCTTGCAGCCAGCACAAACTCACAGAGCATCGACTGAAACGTGTGGGCGGGGGGGGGGGGATGTAACGGGTGGGAACCAAACTGAGCTGAGAACATCCTGGCAGCATTGGCTGAGATGTGACCACACTCCCGGATTGGGAAAAGCCATGTGGGGACAATGTGGAACAACGGGTGAGATGCAGCGGGGATAGGGGTGGGGACGGGGGCCCAAATGACCTCTTACCTTTTGTTCTGTTGTGATTGTTTAATTGCCCAAGTAATCCACCACCGATGTAGGAAAATTGGAAGATACAGATAAGCAAAAATAAAATGAAAACCACTCTTTCCCTGTCATCCACAGTCACCACAGCAAATATCTTCACTTACAAAGACAGCCTCAAACCCCCTGCCCCCAGGGGACAAACGGCCTTGCAAATGTGTGCAGATGTGGGGAAGCGGGCTAGGTGGGGACAGTGGCAAATCAGAGCATCCCTGCTCTGCCTACATGCACAGCAACTCCCCAGCTCCAGCTGCTGGCTGCCTGTGGGAAAACTGGTCCAGTGAAGAGGGAGCTTCTGATTCTACAGAAGAACTGGACAACTATGATTTTTGCGCTGCAGAATTCTTCAACTATAAAATGTTGGCTTGGCCCATGAACCATGGATTTGAGACCTCTGGTGTATATCCCTGTCTTATTTTTTCCCATAAATATACACGTGTGTGTGTGTTCATGCATGTGTGTCCAGTGAGCACCTTTTGGAATGTGTGTCTAGGTCACAAGGCCCCTTAACTCCTGTCCACAAGGGTGCACTGGTCAATCTCAGAAGCCCTGTTTTACATGACCCCATCTGGACCATGTAACTGGATGCACAAAACTGGACCAACCAGAAAGTCCTTTCCTTGGGAGTTTGAAATAAGGAACAAGACAGAGAGATTCAATATTTCCTTGTAGCTGGGTCTGCCAAATGAAGGGATGGGAACAGGGTGCAGGGTCCCCCTGTGTGCACCAGGGAATTCTGCTGGGCTTCTATCAGCTTCCCACTGATTGCTTCTAGCCTGTCACTGAGGTCCGGCTGGTCCCTGAGACATTCCTGTCACCTGATAACAAACCCTGCTCTGGCCGGAGTTAGCGTTAGTAGGCTCTGGTCCTTGCAATCAGAGTCCCAAGTTATGTAAGATACAAAGACATGACAATACATTAGATGAGTATTTTACACACATGAAATGATGAGCTTCCAAATGACCTTTGGGTACCATCCCCTTTCGCCCCAACCCCCACCCCACCGGGCGCATCCCTGTTCGCAGAGGAGGAAGGACAGCACCTGTGTCGTTTATGCTTCTTGGAACTTTTTTTCTTCTTTTTCTTGACAGGCGACGGGCTATAGGATGGGGACCTGCGTGGAGGGGAGACACACTTCAGAGGGAGGCTTTTGAAGGCCAGGGTTGGTTTCACAGACAGGGCTGCAGCTCTCCCAGTAACACCCAACACGGACAATAACTGGTATAATTCGTTTGCATTTGTTTTAAACGTTACCACGCGTTTTACATGTATTATCTCATTTAATCCTTCCAACACTTCTTAGGTCAGTACAATTGCTACCCTCCTTTTTCAGATAAAGAAAGTGAGGTTCAGGGAGGTGGAGTGACTCGCCCAAAGACACACAGCTAGGAAGTGGAAGAGCTGAGATTCAAATGGAAGCCTCTCTGATCCCAGGGGCTTTGCTCTCAATCACGGTAGCATCCCATAGCTGCCCTGCTGGTCGAGCCATAAATGTTTATGTTTGTCTGCTGCCCTCTCCCAAGCTGCATATACTTTGGGTCTCTCCTCTGCCCTACCCTGTTGTCTTGCTGGCAAGACCAAGCCCCTGCAGGAGATCTTGCCAGGATGAACTCAGCACAGGTGGTACCATCAAGGGGTTACCCGGGAAACAGAGCCACCCTGGAATCATAACTACGACTCAAGGCTGAGGTTCAGGTGACCCGAGTTCCAGTCTTGACTCTACCATTAATTCACAAAGTCACCTTGGGTGTGTCACTGCTCACTCTAGGTCTCTTATTCCCCCACTGACAAAATGCCAAGGTTGAACCCTATGAGGACTTGCAAACTCAGTGCCAACTGAAGCCTGCCTCCCAGATAGTGCAAAGGGATGCTACAGGTTGGGGGTAAGACAGTAGGGAGTGGTGGGGCCTGTGGTGAACCAGAGAGCACCTGACTGAGGAGGATGGCTGCTTCTCAGATCAGCTGAAGGCCTCACGCAGGAATGTAGGTCCGGGTTTCTAGAGCGCCTGCCTTTTCAATAGAATTTGCCAGAAAAACATATTTTCATATGAAATCTGGGTTTTAAAGGTTGGCTACTAATTGAAAAGACAAAAAACACTTTGCAGGCCAACTGAACACACTGCATGAATGAATAATCGGAGCCTGATGCCTGTGGTCTCCTTTGAAATGTTCTCCTGCCCACTCCTAGCATCGGGAAACTCATGCCACTGACCCCAGTTCCACCCCTCACTTGAGAATGGCGGCAACTCTGGGTCCTCCTTGGGCCTAACCTCTGAGAACCAGGCTAAAGGGGTGTAGAGGGAATAAGGTCCCAGAAACCTTGGAGTTGGGACCCGAGTCATCCAGACTCTGCTCTCTGCTGCCCCCTGGAGGCTTCTTGAAATACTGCCTCTGAGGTTTGCTGGGATTTTCAACTTGCCCCTCCACCAACGTAGATCTAACCACCCCACTGGGTCTGGAGTCCTGAACCTGCTTTTAGCCTAGGGATTGACAGCCTAGAAGAAACTCTGCAATATTTTTAAATACAAAAAAAATCAAAAGGAATTGTACATAGAAACATTCATAGGGTATAAAAGAGAAAACAGCTGGCAAAAAAATATCAAGTCCATTATCCTTGGCATTTGTATGTGGTGGAAGCAACTGAGGAGCCTCAAATCAAGTGTCTGTAGGTTCCATCACCTCCTCTCTGAGCCTTTATTTTTCCATCTCTAAAATGGGCATAATAATTATAAGAGAAATGAGTCACAGTGACTATAGTTAACAATACTGTATTGTATATTTGAAAGTTGCTAAGAGATTAGATCTTAAAAGTTCTCACTGCAAAAAAAAACTGTAACTGAGCAACTGTAACTATGTAAAGTTAATTGTAAACTTACTGTGGTAATCACTTGGCAATAAATACATATAACAAATCATGAAGTTGTACACCTTAAACTGACACAATGTTATATGTCAATTACATCTCAATAAAACTGGAAGAAAATTTTAAACAAAAATAACATGGGGATAACAACGCTTGCCTGGTAGATCGTGGCCAAGGGTAAAAGAGATCACAGAAATCACAGTGTTTGGCACAGCCCCTCACACAAAGTGAGTTCTCCAAAAACAAACAAATAATAAATAAATACTCATGGTCACAACTATGCTTCGGATTAACTGGTCATTTACTATGTGCCCAACACTGTGAAAGCTGCTTCCACATCCATTTTCTCATCTAATTCTCACAAAACCCCAAGAGGTAGACATTGTCACCATTTTATAAAAGGGAAACAGGCTTAGAGAGGTGAAGTGACTTGCTCAAGGTCACACTGCTAGTAAAGAGCTAGAGAAGGGATCTGAATCCAAGGGGAGTCACTGTTTGACTCTGAAACCCTTATTACTCCAATTTTGTCCCCTTCTCTGTCTTCAGGGTTTCATCTCCCCTTGGGGCCCTCACCTCCTTCTCTTCTTCCGCGTAGATTTCTTCTTTTTCTTCTTCCCCCTGGAGGAAGGTGGTGGCGTCAAGTCTTTGCTGCGGGAGGCACTGGGGGGAACACAGAATCGGGCATTAGAGGACCCAGGGTTCCCCACACCCCCAACCAGGGCTGTTGTAGCTGAGATGGGATCCAGTTTCTTGGAGGGTGAAGGACCCACCATGAATACCTAATAACCACCTCATGGCTGATTTGGTTACACTTCAGATTAAATGCCTCAAATAAGGAGTTAATGCTGACCTAATGAGACAGACGCTATACGTTACCCAAACACTGGTTGATTATTTAAAACAGAGTGATAGAGGTTAACTGCTCCTTAATAGATTTATTATTGAATCTGCAAATGGTTCACCTTGGTAAATAAATCAGTTTTTAAATAATTAATTGGCAGTTCAGCACCCTCCATCCCCGATATATCACGTCTGCAGTTCCTGCTGGAAATTAAATAGGAGGTGGAAGGTATGTTAAGTAGCAGCTGATTATTAAAAGTATATTTGCCAAGGTCTAATGTAACGAGATACATATCTTATATCACCTCACAGAACCTCAAAAACCTCCACTCTTCAGGAATAATTACTTCCCGTTCAATTAAATTCAAATGCTCAGGCTGCAGTTAAATGAAGTCAAGTTATCTCCTCTTATAATTGGGGCAGGCTCCAGGGATTTTTAGAAACACTATTCCATGGCAAAAAGAGATGGTTTTGGATGAAAAATTGCTTGGGAACTGAAACATGCCAACCCAGTTGAGCTTCACTGGGAAAATAGAATATTATTGTCATGATTAGTAATAACACAACTACCATTTATTCACTTATTATGCACCAAATGTTTCATATACTTTGATAGCCACAGAAGCACTCTAAGGGTACTATGATTTTTATTGTCATTCCACAGGTGAAGAAAATAATGCTCAAAAAGTTATGTTGCCTTGTTCATGGTTGCACAGTTAGGACGTATCCAAGCTGGGATTTGAATCGAAGCCTGTGTGATTCCTATCCTGAGAGCTTTCCCACAAAACCAGATGCCTTCTCAAACTTGTTTGTGTGGCTAATCTTTCGGAAGTTACTCAACTCTTTACAAAGCATCATAAAATGCTGCCAAACTTAATTCCATTCTGAGAATCTAGATCATTATAGCTAGTAGAAAAAAATGATACAGTGATCAGAATGAATATATGTTAAGGTCTCTGCATTGCCTGGAAATAAAGATCACATAGCTATACTCTAAAACACTGTCAAGAGAGTCATCTTTAGCAGGTTAAAAATAAATATAGAGAATAAGAACCCAGCTACTTCACTGCACTTACATGTTATAAATCACAAAGCACAGTACACATATCCAGGAAGCAGGTGGGCCTCTTGTGTAAACATGGTACACGACTTCCAAATTTTTCCTTCAACAAGGGCTTGACACAGAGTAAGAGCCTGATAAACATTTGTTGAGTGACCAAATGAGGGATGAATGGATGAAATAATTTGGCCACTTGTTAAATCATCTCATTTCATATAGACACTTCCCAGGGTAATAGCTGCTAGAAATTTGGAAAAAAAAAACCACACCCAAAATATTTAAGGGACAAATGCTTAAGGAAAAAGTAAAACCCTTTTAAAAGGGTGTCTTATAAAGCAGAAAGATCTCATCGTTTCAGTCAGTTACTCTCATTTCATTCTGAAACTCCAGGGTCTCAGGAGGGGAGGAAAGTTTGGGAACCATGGTCCTAAACTCAGCTTTAAGGGATGAGGTACAACCAAAAAGCCCTTGGATCTGACGTCTGTGAGAGCGGATAATCAACCCCCTCCGTAAGTGCCGAACGCCCTTACCCAGGTTGGTCTGCGCTGCCCCTACTTCTTTATTTTCTGTGCACCAGTTCTCCTGGGTGCACCCTCACACAGCGGGGGTGGTAAGGCACAACTTATGGTTAAGTGCACTGCCGTTACACAAGCAGCAGTCAACTGTGCAGCAGTCAAGTACACAGTGGTTCCATATACCGTGGTCAGCTGTGCAGAGGGTGAGTCTGTAGCGGTAAAGCGCGCTGGTTCCTGAAACTGACACACTTGGATTTAAAGTCCTGCTCCATTACTTCCTACCTGGGTGGCCTCTCTGAGTATCATTTCATCATCTGTAAGATGGGAATAAAACGTGATATACCTGTGTCCTAAGTTTGCTGCAGGAATGAAGGAGCTTACTTGTGCAATATGCCCTGGGCCGGCACAGAGGACGTTCCCAGTAAATGTAGTGTCTGTTATTATGATCACGACCTTGATGGTCAGTGGTAATATGAGTATCATCAATATTGTGGTTTTTATCATGTCAGAGAGCAGGCTGCAGACAGGAGAAGGGAGCAAGAAGCCTAGACATTCCACAAACGGATAACATGGCATCACTTTTAGACTGTCATGTCCAGAACCCTCTCTTGTGGCTCCATGAGACTCCATCTAACACTTTAAGCATCTTCTGTATTCTAGGTCCACTGGCAGGATGTGTACACACCTGGTCTGACTGAATCCTCACTCAACCTCGAGAATTAGATCTCAGTATCCCCAGTTCATAGTGGTGAGCACTGAGGCTCACAGAAGAAAACAAACTTGCCCAAGGTCACTCAGTTAGTAAGTGCTGGTGTCTAGGTTTGAATGCAATTCCGACAACACACTAAGTCCCCTCTGACTGGGAGACAACGTTTGGGAAGTATGGAATCTGTCCGCCCTCCCCATCTCCCTCCAACTCCCTCAGTCTCTACTGGAAGCAACTCCTTTTTTTCCTATTTCTTGGGGTAATTCTCCAGAATCACTGTTGAACTTTGCTTCTCCAAGCTGAGATGACTTAACTGTTTCTCCCTCCCTGAAATCACAGCCTAACTGACGAAAGCCTGTTGCTGAGAGGGTGGCCTGGGGTGGGGGAGCAGACTTCATCCATGAAAGCTGCTCTGGCTCCCCGAGCTGCTTCATCAAAAGTCAGGTTCTTAGCTAGAGACCCTTATTCATCAGCCCCAGGGTCCTGGTACACAGATTTTGGGGAGTGTTCTTGGAGCACATACGTTATTCCAGGGGACAGCGCTCACAGCTTCCTAATCCTCCGATGGGGTTTGACTTGATTTTAGGGTCAGAAAGAGGAACTGGCAACAGACAGAGGGGAAGAGCAGCCAGAGAGACAAACTTCATTTCTCCATCCTCAACCTGGCCTTCCTCAAGGGACTGAAGAGGGGGGTGGGGGCAGCGCCTCACCTGTGTGCTCTGGCGGGACTGGGCTCCCGGCAGGTTTTGTCTCTCTCCCAGCTGTTGGTGCCCAAAGCCTGGGTGGCCAGATGCTGGCGCAGCTTTTCCGAGGCTCCATCCTGAGCTGGGACCACGGGGCTGCTCTGGGGTTCTGTCCTACGGGGGGAAGAAATAAGGAGGCAACAGTGATAGGAAATGACAACGATTCTTAATGTTCATCAAACATCCACAGATGTCCTAATATTTCCAACTTCCCTCGTGGTTAGGCTGGGAACATGAGACTATTTGGGGGCAATGGTCTCTGAGTGGGAATGACAAAAATCGTTTCCAGTTCCAGGCGATAAGATCCGTGTGCCATCTCCAGTTCTCTCTCCCTCTGTCACAATGACTTCAGAGGCCATGTTATTCCTAAAGTTGAAACTATTTGATGGAGGAGTGATGCCTGAACCGCATCAGACTTTGCATGACAGAGATAAGCCTTAGTTAGGTTAAGCCACTGAGCTGCAGGGGCTTACTTGTTACCGCAGCATAGACCGTCTTAACCTGACTGAACCACAGGGAGACGCTGGAAACCAGCATTTCACGTCCTTCCTCAAGACTTAATTAGAGGCCAAAGCCAGATAGGATTAGCTCAAACTCCCCAATTTCCATTTCTACCCCATTTTGTTTCCTGCCTAATCTGTCTCTGGAACAGAGACACCTTAATTCAAACACCATCTTCACCATTTAGTAGCTGTAGGTCCTGGGACCAGTCCCTCAACCTCTCTGACTTGCAGTTTCTTCAACGACAAAAATAGGAAATAATGTCAATCCATACACTGTTGCGTGGGGTGTGATGGTAAAATGAGATAATATAAGCAAACAGAAAGGCCTGGAAAATCTCAGTTCCCCTTCCCTTTACTTCTCTGTGAACCAAACTTCCCACTGGGTTTCCTTAACAGGTACGAGGTCACCTACTTGGGACAGCAGTTCCCACAGAAGCCGGAAAGTTCCTTCCTCTGCCTCCAAGATGAGGTCCAAACAACGCAGAGAAATGACCTGTGTCCCACCTCCTCCTCCGAGTCCCAGGAAGGGAAAGGACGTTGCCTACTTAGTCTTTGATGAGACTGTCACTCAAATCTCCTGGCTCCTAACCCAGGAAGTCAGGAGTCTGAGGGTCACTGGTAGATCTGGTTTACCATCCAGCAAGCTCATCCTGCCTGCAGATCCCAGGTCAAGGACTGATCGAAGGCATTAGCATTTCTCCTGCATCAAGCTCCTGCAGCCAGTGTATCAAGATTGGTTTTATGACTTAGGATGAAGGCATCTGATAAGCCCCCTGCTCCTTAGGGCTACCAGGAGAGCAGGCCAAGCCTGGTCAATATCGAAGGGAGGGCTGCAAAACACATCCATCTCTGTCAGCCGTTTATCGGTGCACCTTTAGAAGCAGAGCTGGGAGATACCCCAAGTCCAGGAGGGATGGAGGTTCTAGTCAGGTGTGCCCAGCCCTCCTTACTGCCAACTCCATGCTTCCAGAACACTCCATGTCCATGCCTGCCATCCCTCCAGTCTCTCCGTGTGGCATGCCACCTTGGCTCTTTTCAGATAACTCAAAGCTCACAATTTCTGCTCAGCCTCCAATACGGTTTGCCTTCTCCCATACTTGTCCTAGCCTACGCTAACCTAAAATTCATTCACTCCAATCCCCTGAGTGCCTGCAATGTGTCAAGGCCAGTTCGAAGTGTGGGGATGCAGTGAACAAGACAGACATGGTCCCTGTGATCATGGAGTTTAGACTGTAGATGGAAAAGCAGGTAATAAATGCGTAAGAAAGGAATAAGATGGCTTATTTGATGGTAATAAATTATGGAAGAGGATAAATCAGTGTAATGGGGCTAGGAAATGGGAGGGGGTGACTTATTCTGTATAATCAGGGAAGGCCTTTCTGAGGAAGTAACAAGAGAGTGGGGACTTGAAAGATTAGGGACTAACTTTGCAGTTGGTGCTGGT